TGAGGTACATGGGGTATTTATAGTTGCAAAATAAATCTAAGCCTAACTATACTAGATCTCCTAAATCTTGCAAGAATAGAAATCCTAACACTAGAAAGCAATAAAATCCTAGACCTACCAAATAACTAATGCTTGGCTTGCATACCAAGCAATTCTAGAATACTCCTATATGCTCAAAACTTCGTCCGCCTTCCATCGCACCGCCCTATCTCGCGTGTCATGCGCGCCGCCTCGCGCTCGCTAACCCTCGGCGCATTAGGCTTTGCGCGCTTCGTATTGCACACGCGCGCTTTCGCGCGCGCCCAGCGTCGCTGCCTCCCCTCCTGCGCGTGTACGCCATCGCGCCCCTCGCCTACTCCTGCCCATTTTAGGACACCCGCACCTGCCTTCCACGCGTCTGCTCCCGTGCGCGCTTCGCTACCGCCACCCGTGCCTCGCGCGTCCTCGCCACCCACGCGATTGTCGCGCACGCCCAATCCTTCCGCGCTAAACTCGCGCCTGCCTGCCCACTTGCGCGTGTCCCAGCCACTGCCCCGGCCCGCATCGCCTACGGCGCCCCCGCGTACACCCGCGCACCCGTCCATCTTGCGCCCGCGTACTCCCTGCCAAACCCGCGAGCGCGGCTCGTTCGCCCACTCGTGTGCATCAAGTGCCGATGCACACATTTTCCTTTTAGCCCCTCACGAGACTCGCCGGTCCCTAACTCCACTTCCGTATCAGCAGCGTGCGACGCGCGCGATAAGGCGACTGGCAGCAACGGCGTGCGCGACACGCCCGATGGGGGAACCCGCGTAGGGAACGAAGCCTTAATCCTTGAGGCTTGCGGACTGGCGGGGATCCACGCGTGCGAGAAGCCCGCCGAGGACGGGAGTGCACGATGCGCGCGAGGGAACTGAACGCGCGAGCAAGGTCAGCGCAGGCCTAATCCTTGCGGTCTTAGGCAAGCCAGATGCGTGGGAAGAGAGAGAGATATTTACTTGGAGTGCACACCAAGGGATTTAGTTTCCAACTAGCTTTATGATTTCTAGCTTGTCTAGGATTTCTAATATTATATTGCTTTATTAGTTCCCTAGGTAGATTAGGCTTAGAAATATTTTGTGCCTATATAAAGGCCCCATCCCCATGTTATTTTTTATCATGAATTTTATGAATAGAAATCTGAACTTTTGTTCTTCCACTTTGCT